CCAAATGTCCATTTGGCAATTCTTTTGGCTTTTTTAGTGCAAAAATCTTTGAAAAAAAGTAATAAATAGTAGAAAAATCCTAAAAATGCCTCGAAAAATACTCCGGCCTCCTTGTGACTTTATAAAACGAGGAGAACCCATAAATCATCCATTTCGCAATGAAAAAATCCAAATTGTTTTACATAACTCACTTTCTTCTTAACCCTAAGTATATATGTTTGTTAACTTTAACTTCAATAACCTACTTCAACAAGCATCTCCCGTTAATATTCGGAATTGTTTTTTAAAATGCGTAACCATGAATCGGGGAATTCAGCAAGGGAGATGGAGTCTCATTCGTAGCAATTTTCGGATCATTTTTCTGATTTTTGTGTATTTAGTTATGTATTTTCTAAGAAAAAGTAATAAAATAATAATTTATGGTAAAAAGCAAGGATGTGGCCATTTTGACTGACGTAAACTTGTCAAGTGGTGAAAGGTGACGGGCTGAGATCGCGCCAGGTGTCCATTTGGCAATTTTTTTGACTTTTTTAGTGCAAAATTTTTTGAAAAAAGGTAATAAATAGTAGAAAAATCCTAAAAATGCCTCGAAAAATACTCCGGCCTTCTTGTGACGTTATAAAACGAGGGGAACCCATAAATCATCCATTTTGCAATGAAAAAATTCAAATTGTTTTACATAACTCACTTTCCTCCTAACCCTAAGTATATATGTTTGTCAATTTAACAAGTATATTTCCTTAATATTCGTTATATAATTTGTAATAATACAAGAATTAGTTTCCTTTCATATATAAGGATGTAAAATTATCTGTTTTGGTTATAATAATGTACATATATAATAATTGCACACTATTTCAAAGCCATCATTGCATTTGAGCCCAGAGCTTTGAACATGTCAGAGATATTCAATAAGTTGTCCATATGCAACTGCACCTAGAGTTTTGAACATGTCGGCGGTATTCAATAAGTTGTCCATATGACGCCGCATTGGGAATCAGTAATATATTTTCTATCATGTCCAATCACATAAA